AATTTCATTTCCCTCACTACCCCCCCCCCCCCCCCCAGTGCCTATCTAGAACAGCGATTCCCCACCCTGTAGCTCCCTCAGTAACACATAGCCCAGGATGCCTCCACTGCTGCTCACAGCCACAGGCCACCCATTTCTTTCAGATGAAAGCACAAGCCAAGGATGATGATACCTACAATGTGTTGCCTGCTAAGCACTGCTGTCCAGGTGAGGTTTGAGGCATTACTCTAGACCAATGGTAGCAAACATTTGTGGTGTCTGGGGACAACTTTATTAAGTGTTATAGCTAATTGTCATTGGTACTGAGTCTCATCTCTTTAAAAGCCAAATTTGGCTTTGGTGAAACACTGTAGGTTCTGGACTGCACAGTGGCATGAACGCCTACGTATCTGGGCCTTGACTAAATTAAGACAGCTGTGTTGAAAAGTCACAGTAAAAATGCACATCTATCAGTGATCATCCATGATCTGTTTTATCCACAGACATCTCCCGGGTAAAACAGAGCCACAGTGCCCATGTCTAAAAGCAGAGAAACAGTAAAGGTCCCTACTCTGATGTTCCACAAGCCCATCCTCTTGGATTATGTTGACTTTTGATCAGCTCCCCTTTCCAAACCCCTGCACATCAATACAACATCTAGTATCCAAACTTTTCATTCTAGGCTGAGAAGCCTGTCCCTAGTCTACAGGTCCCCACATTGCTGTTTGTGTCCCACTAGCCCCTCAACACCAACAGCGACAAGAGTTATGAAGCCTCATTTATCACCTCCCCCTTTTCTCTATATGTTCCACTATGCTGCACGTGAAAATCCATCACCATCCACCTTTCCACTCCAACAGCTCCTTCACAAGGTTGAAGTAAAATAGGAGGGAGGGGAATGGACAGAACCCCTCCTATTGCCTGCCCAGAACTTCACACCGACCTAGGATCTTGATTTGGATGAGACCTCACTTGGGAAAGGACTGTTTCTATTCTTACTCTGAGCTCAGCATTGATTATATTATCAGCAGTC